TCTTTGATTTAAGCTGAGAATCTTTTTAACATCAGAGAGTCTCCACATCACTCAAGTCTGCTTTTCTCTGACCGCTTTGGGGATGTTGGCAGATGCAAGGAGAAGAGGGGGAAATGAGAACGTGGCACAATTTTTATTTCTTAGAAACACCTTGGAAAGGCCAGTACCTTTAAAAAGGGAGTCTGTGTAATCTGGTGGGTGGTTCATTGTTTACCCACTGATCAGCAATAACACTTTGGATTAAGTCTCTTGCTTGCTGCAGGTATAACATGAAGAGACAAGGAGTACCCGTCCAGGAAGTTGTTGAGGGAATAAAATCAAACAGATGGAAGCATTTTCAGAGAGCTAAGCATGTTACATCTAGGCGAGGGTTTCTTCTTCTTGCTTCCTCCCCCTTCCTCCTCCGTCCCTTCTCCATCCCTTTTTCTTCTTTCCATGGGTCTCATGTGTAGTTACAATGCACACACAAATAAGGGCTTTCTTGACTGTTCCTGTTAATATTAAGGCATGGCTTTGACAATCTAGAAATCTCAGCAAGTCTGAAAACCAGGGCTATTTAATTTTATAAATAGTGCTTTTCCCACCAACAGACAAACTTTCCTAATTAGTTTTGTTCAAGCTAAAGCAATGGGGTTGTTCCCTTACAGAACACAAGGTGTAGGACCATATTAGTAACAAAACCAGCAATTAATAGCACATTTATATCAGACACTCCACAAAGTAAATGCTATGCATCTAATTGCAGATCAAATTCTCATTGCATTCTACAGACCTATTAGTCTACAGTAATGAAGTTTTGTAATACACCACCAACACATTTCCTGCATTCAAAATGTCAAGAGGAAACAGAGCTCATTCCTGCCTCATCTGGCAGCTCTGAGAAGGGGCAGAGGTCCTCCATGCCTTGGCCACCACTACATCCCCAGCACTTGGCACAGGACCTGGCAGAATCAGTGCCTGGTCAATAAATGTCGAAGAATGAATGAAAACAGCAGTGGGTGAATTGACAAAGGAACTGTTCCCAAGCAAGTGGCAGAAGTGTGATCTCACCTATCTTCACACCTACCCTTTTCCTATCCAGAACCCCTCAGGAAGCCTCTCCTCTCGCTTCCAGCCTTCATCCATAGCTGAATTAGGTTCCCTATAAAGACTTCTCTCTCCTCTTTAGCACTTAGGATAATGATAATTAAATAGGGATTTTAAAAACTTTATTATTGTGTAAGTGTGTGTGTATGCAGGATGCGTGTGGGGATTTGCAGGCCATGGCATGTGCGCGGAGGTCAGAGGGTTGTGTTGAGTTTAGAAATCACCTGAAATGTCAGGCTTCCATGGTGAGTGGTTTTTGTTTCATTCTGTTTTTTTGCCCACTGAGCCCTCTCAGCCCTACATAAAGACATGTGTATGGACTGGGAACCATTGGACTGGGAACTCCATTAAAGGACGAGGTCTTACACAGTTGACACTGTACATTCCTTTCATTTTTTTTTTAGACACAGGGTCTCACTATGTAGCTCTGGCTGTCTTGGAACTCGTTCTGTAGACCAGGCTAGCCTCAGACTCACAGAGATGCACCTGTCTCTGTCTCTCGGGTGCTGGATTGAAGGTGTGCGCCACCACACCCAGCTCCTCTAATGTTTCTGACAAATCATTAAAGGCACTAAACTGTCAGGAAACTGAATAATAAATTACCCCCTATTCCCTTGACTTGGAATCAACAGTTTTTCACTATTTGGGGCCATATAAACTTAAGTCAGCACTACTATAGCCTCAGGCAGCTCTATGGGGTTTGGTTTTCTTTTTCTGGAGTACAATTATTACTTTTAGGGATTGAGAAAGAGCGTCAAGAGGGAAACCGTGAGGTAACTGTTAGCCAAAGCACCTCAGGTAGAAGTTCCAGACTAACCTCAGTTGACAGGTGAAAGTCTGTCTCAAAACAATTTTTGATTTTGGAAAACAGCTGTGGATAACTGTTCCTCCAATTGTAAGGCCGGAATGCAGAAGCAGGCTTCTCCTCAATGGCAGGTGGTAACCTGAGGACAGCTCCTCCAGGCCAGTTCTGGCAAAGACAACTCTTGTAGTCCTTACAAGGTCTTTCATTAGAGGCAATGGCTTAATGGATTGTTACTGGAAAAGGCAGCGCTGTTCACATTGTGGGTGGGATTTGTTCAAGTCAGACTCCACCACGCTCTACTTTGGAAAGCACAGTCCTTACAGTTGGAACGGAAAATGCAATACTGAATGAGAGCTAGAGGCAAGTGCCAGTAGATAGAGCTTTCGGTGGCTGCGCCGCACCTTCCTAGGTCACCCTGGATGAGTCAGTCATGCAGCCTCTCTAAACACAGAGCAATGGCAGTCCAAGTCCCCTCACTGGTGGAAGTACCCCAAGGATCTTCTGCTACTTCTTGAATTCTATCGGTATCCACAGTTTGCATTTCCAACTAGGCTGGAAGTTGGAAAGCCATGAACAATAGCTACTACTTTTGATATGGTTGATAAGGGCTGGCCATAGTGTTGTGCACATCAGTCAAACACATATTCATAGCAATGGTGGAGAAATAGTGTTGTCACCCAGAATCCTTTGTGGTGTTCATTCAGATGGGACACACCTGAGTTAGGAACTTCCAAGATGCACGCACACCCAAATGTAAGCCCTACACAATAACTCCCATGCCGTTTTCCTAATGGTATTCAGCCACAGTGACCCTCCAATGACTGTGAAGACACCCAGACATACACACCAAGACACTACTTCGATGGTATCATGCCTCCGAGTCTACTAAGAACTTCTAAGCTTGCCACAGGTAGCCTGGCTCTCTAGTCTTCTCTTCCCCAGCCCTAGACGTGTATTTCTTTGAAGAAACCAAAAGCAACCAGCCACTCAAAGTCTCTTGAGTTAATTCCAGCCTCCTCTGGTGAATTACAACCTCTTGCAGACTCAGAGGAAAGCAGAGAGACAAATGACACATAAATAAGAGCTTCACTGGCTTGGGGGGAGGGAAGCATGGAGAGTGACGTCAGTCTTCCCCAAAACCCATTTATCATGATAACAAAGTCTCAAGTGCTTGGGCCGTTTCCGAATTTGCCATACAATTATGTTTTTCCATATACAATGTGGTAAGGCCAGCCAGAGAAAACTGGAACCACCCAAAGCAAATCAAGAGACCCTAAGCCACCCCTTACTGCACCCCCATTTGCAAAACAAAGGTGATCTCTAGGTGCCCACAGTGAAGCAGCCTTCTGAAATGTTCACCCTTGCCAGCATGGGCCTTGCAATCCTAATCCAGGAAAGGGAAAGTGGGGAGGGCAGGTCAATGCAAATTCATTATGACAAGAAGGAAAATCACTAGTGTCATTTTGAGGGGGGTGGTCACTAAGGATAGAGCAAGCGTAATCCGGGAAACAGATTCATCTCCTCAAAACCTACGGCATCTTTAAAATGCAGATAAGAAAATTGCCCTGGTTGTTCTCAAAATATTACAATCTCTCCAAGTCCAGCACCATCAAGAACTGTCTCTTATCTGCCTCTGTCCTTCACATCATGCCTGCACAATGAGATGGCTCTGTGCTGGGGTGTGCAAGGGCTAGAGAAGGTCTCAAATGAATGACCCTGACCTTCCAAAGCCAGACAGGAAATTCCTTTATCTGTAGAGAAAATGCTATCAGATTCTGAATTCGGGTTTAGAAAACAAATCAATTGCAATTATACCAAATACCTAGAGGCTGCTTCCTACTCCCGCTTTTCTACTGGCGTCACATTGCACGGCCAGGTCTCTAAGGAAATGTGAGGTTACAAGGTTATCATTTTTCATACAGTAGCATTCGGGGTAGTGGGCTATACCTGCCCTACTTCGACCTCATTCTGCTTCAGCTTATGGTGCTGGTGGAATAGAAAAACTAGATTGTTCCCACAAATGGAAAGAAACATCTGCCTTTGTAACCAAACTTCTGATCTAAAAACAAACAAACATGGAGCCTCGGGTTCTTGGGTATGACTTCTCTGCACATCCCAGGCTGGAAAACTTTAGTTTTTAAAATGATTTTTTTTTCCCCAGAGTTTGGTTCACCAAAAGAGAGGGAACACTACTTCACCAGGTCTCACGCTATTTTCCTCAGTCTCTACAGAAAGATGTCAGCTCCAACAGGTTTGAGCATACAAGCCCATGCATACTGAACCCAAGACTGACCCTCAGAGAACCACTCGGAAACGTGCCAAAATACACAGCCAGCCACCTCCGGGCCGGGTGAAGTGCACCCCCCACTTCCACAGACGCACAAATGGGACCCTGCGGGACTCGGCACAAGTAGACGCAGAGGCATTCGGACGCAGGAACACACACCATAGGTGAGCGCAGAGAAACAGGCCGACTCATTCAGGGTCACATAACCCTGCCACGGGGAAGGCGGAAGGGCGCCCATGCACATATATGAGCACACACTGATGCACACACAGACGCAGTCACATATGTAATGCATATGGAGAAACCCTACTCCAGTCATTCATCTCCCCGCCCCCTCACCACACTCAACCTTTGGTCCCAGGCTACCCCCAGCTCCGCAACCCTCTTTCTGAGCAAGCTGGAGTCCCAACAGGCAGCTGTGCTCAGGGGTGCCTCCAAGCTAAGGGGACAGGGACCCGAGGACTCGGTACTCATGCAGCCATTCATTCGGCAACGCCCCAGCAGCGGGGCCACAGCTGCCGCAAGGGAGGTGGAGGCGCTCACTGCAGCTCTCTCCCGGTATGCAAGTTCAGCTGCCCGCCAGTAGGCTTTGCCAATAGCCCCCCACCCTCCTGCCACCACAGGTCTCCAGGACGTGCTGGGGACAGAGGGGACTGAGCTGCTGACCCCAGGGCAAAAGTCCCGCCTTGCCTCTGGTTCTGGATGCTACCCTACTGCCCTCCTCGTGGTAGTGGTGGTGGCTGTGGCCAAGTCTGCTTAGCCGTCCCAAGCCCCCCACCTCACCTCCCAGGCTGGGGGCTGGTACCCAAGCCCTGCACTCACCACCTGGCGAGCTATATCGGCCGCTGCCATCGCTCCTTCGTCCGCCAGGGCTGCTACGGGTGCCTCCGCAACGGGAGCTGCTGCACAGGAAACAGAGGAGCTCCTCCGACAAAGAGAAAGTGTTACACTTCGGGCGCGACCAAGTCTGGTGGGGGGAGGTGCCAGGGAGGGGCCCCCTCACCGCTGCTCCAACCCCAACCTCTTCTCTATCGCCCACCCCCTCGGAGTAGGGTGTGGGGAGGGGACGGATTGGCCGCCCTACCTTCCCCTAGGGCGAGCCCAGTTCCAGTTCTCTCTGCAACCCAAGCCTCGGCCTCCGTGAAGGGGGCGGGGGCTCCCCGCGGTGACCACGTCCTCCGCCCCCCCCCTCCCTGCCGCTACTGGGCTCCGTGGTACGTCCCGACCTCTGCTGAATTCACACACACACACACACACACACACACACACACACACACACACACACCCCTGTTCTCCCTTATATCCCTGAGCCCCCAGACTTGAGGCTGGAAGGGAGTCCCGGCCCTTCCCCCGCTCTGCTCCCAGACTGAGGTCTGCAGTCCTCCCCTCTCTTTTCCCAGTCCACATAACCTTTCGTGTTCCCCACTGAGAACCCCAGGTACTTGGATGGGAGCACTGGCCTCTGCAGTTTCAATGCTTCACTGTAGTCCATCCTAACTAACCAAGTTATCTTCTTAGCCCAAGAAGATTGGGGCGGGAGGTGGGGCAGCAGGGCAGGGGTTGCAGCACCTGCAGCACCACCACATTCAAGCTCAGAAATTGAGCTTTAATGGGGGAGCCGCACTGCAGCCCCACAACTGAGTGAGCTATTGCTTGTGGAGGACCTCTTTCCTGTCCTGAGGTTCCCAAGCCTCGGTCGCAGGAGGCTGTAATTTCCGTGGAGCCTGGCTCCCCACTACTGTACCTAATAAGAACTGACCTCACTGGTTCCCCTCTGGTCCCTGCCTTCAGTGCTAGCAGGGTAAACAGGGAGGCAGAGCATCCAATCTTCTAGGGTAGGGAGTCAGAAGGGAGTCTCAGGGTGGGAGCTGGAGGTCTCTAGCTCTGATGAGCCAGATGGAGTTACAGGAGGGGTATTCTGTCCAGCTCCAATTGCTCCTCGATCCTGATTTAGCCCAGGACCACATGACCTACCTGGCACAGAGCACATAACTTCCAGAATCTAGAATTATGCCTGGCTGCTCCCCTTTTCCTTAGAGCCAGCTGTTATTGCTAGCACGCTGTCCCACCTCCCCAGACCTGAAGTCCACCGCTCCCCTTCTCTCTGTCTTGGGATTGCCTCTTTGATGGCTCCCTGTGATTGATGAACTTGGCATGATATGGTTTGTCAGAGGCCCAAGAGGGACACCCTATTCCTCAAAATCATAGGATCTTAGGTCTCTCTCTTGAGAAGTCAGCAACAAAAGAGAGAACCTAGGAGAGGGATCTCATACAAAGGCCAAGCCTAGAAAATATGGGGAGAGAGGAGGTAGGGAACCAATGTAACCATAAAAGAACTCCCTGGTCCTTCATTTGGTCTGGGAGTGAATGCTTCTCAAGTCCTCTCGGGGACTCTTTATGTCACTTATACACCTTGACAACAAGGGCTTTGTGAAACGTCTCCCTAGTGCCTAATGTGCAGGTCCATTCAGTGATTCCAGAACGGAGGGCAGTGGCATACAGAGAAGGTGGCGGGAGGGGCAGCCATGAAGAACTAAGTATTCAGGGGGAGGTGACTGTTGTACTCTATCATCGTTCTAGAGACTCAAGAGAGTGGGCCAAAGAGAAGGGCCTGGCACAATCAGAGACACACAGGGTGGATGACAGTAACAAGGAAGAGGAACAGCTGTAGTTCCTGAGACCCTCAGGAACACTTGGGGAATGGTTAGGCCCTGGGCTGGTTATAACACGTAAACACATAAAACCAAGGCTAAAATTGAGGAACTGCTTTAAGGCTTGGGCCTCAACCCGATGGGGGTGGGGAACCAGAGGTCCCCAGGCTAGGCCTCCAGTAGGTAGTCCTTGAGTCTTCCCTGTGAAAGGCTGGAGTGTAGCAAAGGCCCAGGCCAAGGTCTGTTTTTGACGGCACTGCCTTCCCCTAGGGCGAGCCCAATTCCAGTTCTCTCTGCAACCCCAGCCTAGGCCACCTCTGTGAAGGGGGCGGGGCTCCCCTTGGTGACCAAGTCTCTGCTCCTCCCCTCCCCACTACTACTGGGCTCTGTAAGAGCTGCTGCCAGGATGGTTGAGCAGGAGGCCAAAATGGGATTATGGGGCTCCCCAGGAATCCTCCCGGCCTCTACCCCAACACACACCCCACATACTATCTATCTCACAGCACTGGGGACACTTCAGCACAGATACCTTGGTGAGCTAAGCATGTGTCACACTCAACTTCCTGTCCCCAGAGGCTATCAGAGCCCTAATGAGGTCTCTTTAAAGTCCTGGACCTCCCAGCCTGGGATAGTGTGTAATTCAAATCTCCTGCAATGCCTTTGTTCCTTCCTTACTTACCTGCTGTCCATCTCTACAAAGAACACTCAGTACTCCAGAGCTTTGGGAACTGCTGGAGCCTGTGCCTCCCAGGTCTCCCAGGCCTCCCAGGCCTCCCAGTCCTTGGTGCTGGTCACCTTATCAGGCACAGGACAGGCAGAAAGGCTGAAAGGAGATAGCAGAGGGCCTCAGTTAGTAACTTTTGTTCCTCTTCTTCTTACATGATAGGAAAAAGAACTTCAGGGGATAAGATTTAAAAAAAACAGAGGTTAGGGGAAGAGAATGGCCACTCAATTGATTGGTAGACCACTTGCCTGGAAAACAGGAAGCCTTGGATCTGGTTCCCAGCAGCGTGCATCTCAACTGTGCTATAATCCTAGCCTGCCTGTGCTCTCCACACTCCAGAAATGGAAGCAAGGTTATTCCAGCTGGTTAGTCTAGCAGAAGCAAGGCTCTTCTAGCTACAAGTTAAGTTCAAGGCTCGCTTGGCCTAAGTGAGATTCTGTCTTATTTTTTTTAGAAGAAGAAGGAGGAGGAGGAGGAAGAGGAAGAGGGGGAGACTTTTTATGAAGAGGAATTTCTGGACTCGTAAGCACTACCACGAGCATATATGCATATCTAATGGGGCATCTTTGTGGCACCCTGGCTACCAAGGCCCCACACAGCGCAGTATCTGGCAGGTGCTTAGTCAGTGGTTGCCAAGTGAAGAAATTAACAGAGACGTGTAAATGAGTTATTCTCATATTTCTACTTTCCTTAAGGAAGCTGGAGCAAGCCACAACTCCCTTAGGGTCAGCAGGTGACTGTTAATGTCTGTGAAGCCACAGTCTTCTGCCTGGGAGGGGAAATGGCTCGCCTGCTAGGTAGGAATGGCTCCTAATTGGAGCCAACATTTACAGTCAAGCTTTACAGAGATCACTGTGACGGATGAGGTGGGGTGCTAATACCGGATAGGATGCGGGGGTGGGGGGAGAACATAACAGTGACTTGCAGCCAAAGGCTCAGGAAACGCCATTATCCTGAAATTATCCTGAAACTGGGGCTTTATGAGAGGAGAAAATGAAAGCCAGCAGAATTGGTCTCAGGTAAGTAGAAAGGCATTCAGAATGATCTAAGATCGGGAAGTTGGAGAAAGAAGCAAAAACAAAGTGATCAAGACAGCACCAACTGCATTAGAAAATCAGTTAAAAGCTGTAAGCCAAGCAGTGGTGGCACATGCCTTCGATCTCAGCAATCAGGAGGCAGAGGCAGTCAGGACTCTATGAGTTCAAGGCCCGCCTGTTCTACATAGTGAGTTCTAGGACAGCCAGGGTTACACAGCGAAAGCCTATCTTGAAAAGCAAAAACAAAGAAGTTAGGCATGGTGGTATACGCCTTTAATTCCAGCACTCAGGAGGTAGAGATAGGTGAATATGTGTTTGAGGCCAGCCTGAGATTCTGTCTCTTTTGGAAGAAAGAAAGCAGGGGGGGGGGGGGGGAAGAGGCTGAGTCAGGATGAACTAAGGATTCCTTTGTGCATTATCGCCTGCTACTCCTGGTTTTACTTTAGATCACTGGCTCTCAATATGTGACCTTTGTCCAACAGCCTCTGAGTTGTCTGGTAAGTTATAAGGAATGTAGTCTGGGACTTAGAATGTAGGTCATTTGGTAGAGTGCTTCCATAGCAAACACAAAGCCCTGGGTTCTAGTCACCAACACTGCAAAAAAACAGGCACGGTGGCTTGCGCTTGTAAATCCCAACACTTGGAAGGTGGAGGCAGGAGGATCAGAAGTTCAAGATCATCATCAGCTACATAATGAGTTCAAGGCCAGCCTATGTTACAGCGCACCCTATCCCAGATCATAATAAGAATATAAATAAGAATAAGAGGGCCTGCAAAGGTGGCTCAGCAGATAAAGGAAGGCTCCTTGAATTCTGAGTTCAATCCTAGGATCCACATAGTAAAAGGAGGGAACCAAGTGCTGAATTTTGTCCTCTGACCTCCACATACACACCACAGCAAGAAGAGACTATACTACACTACACACACACACACACACTCCTTTCCAAGAAGGATACTATAAATAAGGAAGTCAGAACGATGGACTCACAGGTAGAGGCACTAATGACCCGAGTTTGATTCCTCAATTCCATGAGCTCATAAGAAAGAACTGACTCCTGGGAGCTGTCCTCTGACCTCCACAGGTGTGCCATGGCACAAGCGCATCTGCACACGCGCAAGCTCTAATATAAAAAGAACGGAAGGAAGGAAGGAGTCCAGATAGTGGGTATAGCTCGGTATTAGCACACAGGAGGCCCTGGGTTTTATTCTCAGTGCAGTAAAGAAAATAAATAAATAGATACAAAGAGGAAGAGAGCATTTAAGAAACTGCAAATCTCAGGCAGAAAGGGTGGGACAAGGAGCCAATGGCTACAGAGACTGCCAGATGAGATGGGTCCAGGTCTGGAAGAGCCGTGTTAGTGACAGCAAATTGCTTGGGCTTTTTGCTCAGGCTGCCCAGTCAGTGTCTGAAATTGTGCCTGACACAAATGGGATGCTCATTGAGCAAATGAAAAAAAAAAGTTAATGGGTATCATTTTCTCTCTCTTTTTTTAATTTTTTAAACTGTAAATCT